GACCCTAGGCTGCGCCCAGAGTTTCTTCCCATCGAAAATACCATCCTTTGGGAACTGCAGGCGGCTGCAGCACAATCATCCAGGCATCCCCAAGGAAGAGAGCTGGAGAGCCAGTCTCTGCCTTCTTTCTATTTTAAATCTTCTGGCCCATAATTCCTTGTGCTCCAGAGGCGTTCAGCTCCTCAGCCAATCCTGTCCTAGACTATTAACCATTGCCTCAGCAAACTCCTCCTGTGGCCCCTTCTAGTTCCTTCCCAGTGATCTGATCCGATCTCTCTGTGTCACCTATGCAAGAGCAATTAATAGTATTATGAAATAAGGCTGCCGAAGCTAAACCATCCTTTTAATATCTAACTTTTGCATATTTGTATGTAATATGTAATTATGCTTTTATAAATATAAATCTACTACATGTAAACTTTTCAAATACACCACTATTTCTAGTTCTACTTTCAAAAGGCAAGTTTTACACAAAAAATTTTTATTGTATTTCAAAGAATCTAAAAGACATTGTTTTTACATACCTTTTAGAAAGACAAAAATGCCTTCTGAATGGTACATAAAGTTATCATCTATAATTGTAAAATGCTATTGATTGTAAGAAGTATCCTGATTTCACAGGCATTAAAATGTGTCTCTTTAGAATCAATAAAACACAGTCGTTTTTTCTCATGGTAGAAATGTTTTTATTATATATTATGCCAATTTAACTGAGAAGTCTAATTTATAGTGCTGAATATCTGCTCAGTGCAGGAAACAACCCTGCATTCTCTGGCTTTATAGGAAAGAAATTTAGGTATTTTATTTGCTATAGGTGAGATGTCTTATTAACATACTGAGTGGACACAAGCTCCCCCAAATATTTTAAGTAAACTGGCAAAAGCCTCCAAAAAGCTGATTAACAGAAAATGGAAATGCTATCCCTATATATTGTCCCACAATAACAATATTTAAAAATATAATCATACTTTGTGAGTCAGGTTTATGTTGTAATTACTATAGTGAAATAGCTTAAAGTATCTTAGCTTGGCTAGATCACATCAATTATCAAACTCCTATTGAAATCAACTTTTAATTTTTAAAGCAAAAAAGAATAAAAAAATCTGGATTTCTGTCATCTTAACACATCAAGTTTATGTGCATGACCTCAGACATTTCTCATTAAGAAACAAAAAATATTTTTAAAACTTTATTGTTATATGACATTTAAAAAAATTAATTGCTTCAGTAGATGAGAAAAACTGCCTTAAGTTTACTTGGTCTTGTTTGAGGCTCAAAGGTAATTGTGTTTTCTTTGTAAATAAGTTCCAGAAAACCAACATTCTGAAATGTAGAAAAGAATTAGGTATCATTTCTATTCATCTTGGAAGAATTTACATGTCATTTGGTTATTAGTATACCTGTAAAGAGTTCCCTTGACAACAAAGCACTTTTGGCAGAGGTTACCGCATAGGTTAACGTGGCTGAGTCTTACTGTAAATTTTTCTCTCCTAACTTAGAAAGCTCAATGTTCCAAAATCTCACTGATTAAACATCTGTATGGTAACTCTAATACATCATATCCCTCGGAGACTAAGTTACAGTGGTAATAGCTGATAATCTCATTACAGATTAACTATGAAAAAAATCCCCAAAGATGGATGTTTAAAGTCCTAGAGATATTCATAAATCACAACTAAATTTCCATAAAGGAGCTATACTAAGTATGTTCATATACATCTTTAGGACAGCCACAAATGTGAGGGACAGGATTCCTTATACATTTCATTATGCATTTATGACATATTATGCTAAACAAATATGTTCTTGACGTGGGCCTGTGAGCCAGGGAGGCTTGGGGCTTGAGGCAACCCGGATGGGGAGAAACAGGGAGGAGTCAGAAACAAGGACAGACTTGGGCAACACCTCCTTGCCTACCTGCCCTCCCCTGCCCCCCCCCCCCCCCCCCGCCACACACAAACACAAGCAGAGAGATTTCTAAGGGGAAAGGATGCTGGCCACCCTGGTACTAGTCAAGGAATGGCTAGATCCACCCTCCAGCCCCAGGCCTGATCTTTTGATCCAAAGGGAACTACAAAGATGCCTTCAAAATGACTGTGCCTGTCCTTTGCACGGAGCTTCATTCAAGGATTTTCTGAGCCTGATGGATTTATGGTGACATCAGCTGCCTGGGCAATAACGCTGGTGGAAGCAGTCTCTGGAATTACACCCAGCACATTTCTGAATGCTAAAAGTGGTTTTAAGGAACGCCTTGGCTGAGTGCCTCTTGGACTCCTGCAGCTTGGATGCCCACGGGGGAGCAGATGACTACAGCTTCCTCCAAGGGCTGAGATCTCTGTCCTTGTCTCAGACAGGAATGTTTGATTGGGTCTCTGCCAGCTCCCGTTGGAGGCTCCCTCTGAAATGGATGAAGTACTGCAGTTCACAGGATTGGTGTTGAAGATCACAAAATAGACTCTGATTTGTGGAACACCCAGGACTGGGCCTGGCACATAGCCAGCATTCAGCACACGAACTGGGAGTATTTGCTGCCCTCCAGGAGAGACAGAATTTCAATAAGGGACTTCCCGCCTGTATTGAGAAAGCAGGTGCTGTGCTTTGCTCTAGGACTGAGATTTCAGACCAGCCCTTGGAGGCTCACTTTCTGCAGGGAGCTCATGCCCTTGGTCAATAGGCCACATTTTCTGAGGCTGGAGAAGCAATTTTTACTTCATTTTTGCCCCCTACTGACTGCATGAACTTGAGCAGATCAACTCCCTTCCCTGGGTCACTGGTAGGGAAACTGTCAAATTGCTCTTCTAAACTGGAACAAATGCGAGTAAAAGGGGCACTGTAACATTCTGGGACGATGGAAACCAGGACATTCCTGGGAAAACCAGAACATGTCAGTTAGATGGGGACAGTGCTGCTAGTACTGCTGGTGCTGCTTGGTGACTGGGTGCAAGTCTGCTCCTCCATTTCCCCACTGCACTTGAACAGGCAGTTTGCATTTCTGCTTTTGGGATAAGAGCCCACTATCTCACAAGTGTGCTTTCAGTTTCCTGGAAGAACCCATTTCTCTTTGAGCCCTGTTACCCCAAACTGCAAGTAAAGCAGGCCCCATCTGCGGTTTTTTGTGTGTTTTTTTTAAATGGATGGGCCCCTGTGACAACTTGCACCACACACTGTAGTCCTAGGGACCTGGAGGACTCCGCACTGCTGTCTCACATACACAGACACAGCATCCCCAGTGATGAAGCAATGCCCTACATCTCAACAGGGGTGCCCAAACCCCTGGAGGTCTGCTCTGAGTTGCCCCAAGACAGGGTTGTAACTCATTCTTCAGGCCAAATCTGGAGACCAAGGATTCTCAATGAACAGCCATAGAGGGTTACTTAATAACTGGTATTTATAAATGCTTGGAATGTGTCCCTTTGACCTGCAACCCTTTTACATTTGAAGAACCTGAAATTCAGAGCAGTCCAGGAAGGTGCCCAAGTTATCGAGGGAGAACACTGCCTACGTGGCACTGCCAATCTGTTAGCCTCCAACAACCTACTCCTGGTTGTGTTTCTCAAAGCATGCCAATAAGGTATGCAAGGTGATTTTAAGCTACAGATGGTCAAGATGTAAAAAAAAAAAAAAAAAATTAAAAATTAAAAAAATTAATATTTAACTTGAACAAAAAAAAAGACAGTAATTAGCACACAAGACCTGTGATATTCCAGATATTATTGTTTAGGAAGTGAAGTATGTATTTAAATGAGAAAGGTCTACTTTGTGAAAACACTAAGGGGCTACGTGGACAGAGCCCATTCTGCAGAGGGCTAAATTTGGAGTGTAGGTCCCGGCTCTGATTTGCAATACTTTGCATAGGGCTTAGCCACATGACTGGAGGCAGAGTGACTCTGAGCCTGTGACCTAAGTTGCTGTGTCCTGCTTCATGTCAGCTCTGCCTTTTAGCCCACCATGATCCTCCCAAGAAAAGAGTGTCACTATAATGTTATTCTTCTTAGATTGACTGCGGTTACTGATCTGGGCCCTAACGACTACATTGTATTTATTGAGCACTCAAAATCTCCGAATCAACCCTTGTATTACTCTGAGATTGAGTTATAAAATAGTAAATAACACTATGAAGTTTTTTTTTTCAAGTGTACTTAGTTGCCAAACACTTTCCATTTGGTCTGAGATCTCTTTCGAATCTTTTAAAAAATATGCACTTTTATCAATGGTAACCAACAGCTAGAATTTCTGGGTATCTTCTTTAAGGTACACAAAGTCAAGTGAAAATACAGTATTTCTGTGCTTCTCAAACTAGGGTACATATAAGGAGCATGTGGTAACCTAAGATGACACAATTTATCTTCCTAGAAGATATAATTCATGTATTATGAAACCTGGAAGAGGAAAGACTGTATTACAATTTATTATGGAATTAGAATAGTTTACTACATTTCTGATAAAGCACAGCATCAAACCACTTCAATGTCATGACTGAAGGAAGTTTGAGAAGTTTTTGAAAAAAAGCAAAAGCTCTGTGAAAAGCAAAGCAGTATTTAAATACAGGCATACCTCATTTATTGAGCTTCATTTTACTGTGCTTCACAGATTTTGCATTTTTTACAAACCGAAGACAGAACCCTCCACCAGCAAAAAACATTACAACTCACTTTATGGTGATGCTCATTTTATTGTGGCAGTCTGGAACAAAACCCACAATATCTCTGAGGTATGCCTATATGTGGCTGGGACTAATAACTATGACCAGGGTCTCCTGTGACATTTCATTTGCTTTAATTTTCTACTGCTTCAGGTATTATTTTAGTCTGATAAAACATTTCGAGTGTCCTGCTTACTGCTATCTCATCTACTTCAAAGGTACTTTGTTACTTAAATGAATTATGCCAATATCAATAACATATTCTTTTTATGAACAAAGCCAGTATCTATTTATTAGCAGAGGCAAGAAATTACAATTCCATTTCCATTTTCTTTTATAATTCAACTTAAGATGTCTTACACGTACCTGCATACCACACTGTACCTAGCAAAATGTGGTCAACAAATGATACTTAGATTAACCTTTCCTTTTTCACTGAAATAGTAATGTATTTTCAACAGAAACTAGCTACTTGTATCTCTTTCATCTCACTTCCATCTCTAAATGGTTTTCCTAATGCAGCAATAGCATGGTTGAGTCACACACTAGATCTGTTCAGCACACTTCTGAAACTCCTAATTTCTGCAACTCAGTAACAGTAACTAACACTCAAAGATGACTTACTCTGAGTCAGGACCTGATCTAAGCCCATGAAGCCCATGTTACTTCATATGTTAACTCATTTACTTCTCACAAAACCTCTCCAGGACAGGCATTCCTGTTTTACAGAGAGTAAGTAACTTGCCCATGGTCACATGACTGTTCTACAGTGCCTTTCTCTTATTCTTTTTAATGTCAGTCCAATGTTCATGGAATGGTTCCACAAAGTACATGATGCTTATATTCTCAGTATTTCTCACAGGAAAAAAATAAAAATATTACCTGAGAGAAAAAAAGGCAGACTTTGTAAGCTTAAAAGTACTACATAAATATCAAAGAGCTTATTAAAAACTGTTGACATCTATACTAATAAAAGATCAAAATGACAGATAATTAAAATTAACCCCCCCCCCCCTTACCTCTTCTAATTGCAATGATTTGGGAACTGAAATCTATTTTTTTTTTTTTTAAACAGGGATGGTATTCTTTCCACTGTGAAGGACCTCTTCCCACTGTCAGATAGAGTAAAAGTAAAGTGCAAGCCCTAGGGACCTCTTAAGCTATTTCTTCTTCCTTCATTATACTCAGAGATGGTCAATCTGAATTGTTGAGTGCCACATACTGTTGGTATAGAATTTTATATTTAAGGCTTTAGACTGTTTTCCTTTAGTTCTCTGCTTTCAACAGTGAAATACTTTTAAGCATCTTGGCTGATTTCTAAAATTTTCAGCAGGATAGGAAATCATGGAAATGGAAAGTTACTTCCAACATATTTCAATCTGGAAACTGAAGTTCACAGAAAGTCATAAAAATCAATTTAAGTTAGATTTATTGATTGCCTATAGTGTGCACGGTCCTCTATTAGACACAATGAAATTCAGGCACAAAACAGACACAAGATCCCTGGCCTCAGGAATCTTATGATCTAATTATTATAATACAGATCAGAAACAAAGACAGACAAGTTACATGTCAATGCTCACTTACTTGAATTGACATTAAAGAGCAGTAATTTAAGTAATCCAAAATGGCATCTAATCCTAAAATTATTTATAAAATGTATTTGGCCTTGAAATCCATAGCACTTCAAGCAAGGTAAGTTCCACTGCAGATAAAGTCACAAAGATTTGAATACAAAGAAAGGCTTAAGAGCATTACTAATGATTTTTGTTATTTTGGATCTTCTGTTTTCTTCTTATCATCGTTCGGAGCCTCCGTAATACCAGTTTATCAGACAGAAGCATGTCATCTTGTTGTTCTAAGTAATCCAGTAAATTTTCAGTCCACTCAAGTGCAGCTTTATGGCTAATGTGCTTCTCTGGATTCACTTCTGTTTTTCTAGTCTTGTTAGCAGGCTTTTTCTCAGCAGGCTTGGACTGGTCCTCAGCACCTTCACTGTCAGTTAGCACCTGACAGCTTGAGTTATTACTCTGAGAGTCAAACCACTGATCAATATTCTCAATGTCAACATGTTCACAGTCTTCTGTATTCTGTAGAACCGTTGCTAAATTAGCTGCTAAAATGGCTCCTTCATCAATGTTCATACCTGAATTCTCTTCATTGCCAGGGAAAAGTTTTTTCCAAGCTTTGGTTATGGTACTTGATTTTACCATGTTCCAAGCTCTTGATACTTCATAAATTGCATCCAACACTGTCAAGTTCTTCCAAAACATTTTTGGATCAATTCCTTCATCCATGTATTTCTGGAGAAGCCCTGCTCGGTAGTATCTTTTTACCGTGGCTAGAACTCCCTGGCTCATAGGTTGAATTAGACTTGCAACATTTGGTGGTAGATATTTGACAATTATTCTGCCATCATCTGAACTCAACAATTCTTCATTTGGATGTGCTGGAGGAAAATCCAAAAGCAGCACTGCTTTTTCTAAAAGCCCCTTGGATTTCAAATGCTTCTGTACCTGTGGCACAAAGTATTTTTCAAACCACTGTCTGAAAACAGAATGTTCTATCCATGCACTTTTTTGACTGAAATAAGCGACAGGAAGGTTTGAAAGATCAGCTCCTTTGAACGCACGGGGTTTTTTTGCCTTTCCCACAACACAAAGATTAAGTTTGTGCAAACCTGTGGCATTTGCACAACACATAATAATGATTCTCTCTCTGCTTGACCTATAACCAGAAGTACTTTGCTCAGTTTCAAGAACTAATGTCCTGGGTGGTAAACATTTCCAGAACAATCCAGTTTGATCAGCACCATAAATTTGCTCTGGTTGTAGATTCTCTCTTTCAACAAATTCCTGGAAGTTACCACAAAATTCACTGGCAGCAGTTTCATCTCCTTTTAATTTTGTTCCTTTACCAGCAGCCTTGGGAATACCGTGGCGCTGCTTAAATCGAGTTAGCCAGCCAGATGATGCATTAAAATCACCTTCCATCCCTAAAGCATCAAAAAAGAACTTGGCTTGTTTTGCACAAATTGTTCCAGACACTGGAATCCCATCTGTTTTCTGCTGGTTAAACCACTCTATCATAACTCTATCAAGTTCCTCATATGTAGATGACTTCATAGATTTACGTTTGGACACCCCACTTGTAGGATCGGAACTGTTTGCATAATTTATTATCCTTTCTTTGTTCTTTTTAATATCACGAACTGTGGATTCACCAATTCCATATACCACAGAAAGTTTTTTGAAAGAGATGCCCTCCTCAAGTTTCTTAATAATGTCAAGCTTATCCTTAATTGTCAATACCACACGCTTACGCTTCCCCAACATTTTAATGTTCAGTATTTCAGGCAATCACTAGAACAAGATATCTATCAGCTTAGACTTAAACACAATGAGATTAGAAAATGGGGTTTTAAAATTCCTCCCCTGTCCCCCTAGGGCCTAGATGGATAATGTGCTGGCCAATTTCCAGGCAAGGCCTATGTGACTCTCACTTTGCTGTTTTAAAACTTACAAAATTTCTTCAACAAGGACTAGTTCCAATTAACCCTATCTTCTATCTTTCTTCCTCCTCATTTAGTTTAAGGTCTTTTCATGAACTACAATCTCAATGGAGATTGCAACCAATATTGTACCAGCGAGGTCTCTAAAACAGTCTTATTGAATACTCAGTTCTTCTTGCCATCATTACAGGTGAAGCTGTTTGCTAAAGGACTAAGGCTCAGGTGGGAATATTTGGATAAATGTTCTGGACAATGGATAGTTTAAGAGAGGACTTGCATACTTGACATATAGGAAAATATAACGGGAAAACTTATCCCCTGACTGTTCTCTTTCAGGTAGTGCATTGTATGGAATGCTGCCTTTTCCAGATAAGGGCTATTACAGGTTACGGAAGTGAGTGGTTATCGAAATCATAAGCAAGCAAGGTAAGGCACGCTGGAGAGAAGTGTGCGGTGCAAATAAGGCGAAAGTGGACAGGCAGAAAACTTTGTACATTAACAGCACACAAACTTATACCTAATGTATTTAACAGCCGGAAAGGAAAAAGGGTAGACAATAGGTGGTGTTACATGATTAAGGAAAGCATCAAAAAATTACACTGGTGGAAATCAGGACTCATGGTAGAGGGTATGGGGTGGAAGGCTCAGTGGTGATGTTATACAATAATCCTGGTGGAGGATGATCCTCGATGGGCCAACAGAAGTACTGCAGTTCCTGTGGGAGGGGCTGTTGAGGTACTCGGAGCCTCCGAAACCTAAAGGAAAATACCAAAAACATTTTTTTTTTTCAATATCGGGGTCTGTGGCATTACCCACACCTACCCTGAAACTATGTTGAAGAAATTAACGTCTTCTATCAATGCGATGGCTAAATAAGACAAATAATGCTTTTAGGCGTTAATTGAAGTGACTGACAGAGAGCGGGACCTGAATTGCCTACCTCCTGAAATTAAGAGGTCAAAGTGAAGCCGTGTAAGCGAGGGCCTCTCCCAGCAGGGCGAGCTCCGAGGCGCGGGACGTCTTTGCTCACGCGGAGGGAGCCCGGATTCCTCTGTGGCCGCTGGCGACCGGGTGTCACCGCCGCAGCCAGCCGGCGAGCGAGCCGCTGCTCGGCCCAGGGGACGCCAGTCCGCGTGAAGGAGGCATCGCTCTCCGTCTGCCTGCGCAGTGGCCAGACTGCCCTGAGAGCAAATGGAGTCTCTGGAGGGAGGTTGACACTGGTCACGGCGGCAGCTAGGAGCAAGCGTCGCCGCCGGAGCCGGAAGGCGGGGGATTAGGGTGCACGCGCGCGCCCCCGCAGGAACGTTTGTCGGCGAGCAGGCGGGGCCTGCGCGGGCGAGCGCGCGCGGCCCGGGGGCGGGGTCACTGGCTGGCGGGCGGGCGAGCGGGAGGGAGGGGGCGGGGCCGGCGACAGAGGCTACTGTAGGTGCCGCTAGGGTTTCGCGGAGGGCTCAGCTGTTCCTGCCTGCCGACTGCCTCACAGACCAGCAGGGGGCGCTTCAGACGCACCCTATTTTGACCCCTCTCCCAGGGTCCCGGCTCGGAGAGTGAGGCTTACTCAATGCTCAGGTGGGAAAAAATTTGCACCTTCAAGAGGGCTCGTGAGAAAATTGTGCATGTACAGGTCCCAGAAGCCGAACGCAAATAGCGAGGGCAGGCGCACGTGGAGCGTGTTTACAAATAGCGGCCCTGACACTTGCGCCTCCTAGAGCTCGCGGGCCCGCACTGGACGAGCTGGAGAAAGGATCGTAAGCCAAGGTAAGAACGAGGCGACTGCTGGCCTAGGGCAGGGAGGCTGGCTACTGGTGGGGACCGGGTTCTGGGGCTTACACTCTGCACCTCCCACCCGACGAAGTCCTGAGTAAATGGAGCGCAGCGGGTGTTGGGGGAAGCGGTCAAACTGGCTATGAGTCTCTACTCTTTGGTGGGGCGCTCGAAAGTTGAAGCTACAGTCTGTAGAAACGAATCTTGTGCAAAGCCAACTTCACCTGGAAGACCTGTGAGCTTGTGGGAGTGAATTTCTTGCCGCCCCTTTATTCCCCTTGCTTCTCAATAGTAATAAGGGAACTGCAGTTTGACAGAGTCCCTTTAGTTGTTCCAAACGTATGGAGGTACCATATGTTTTTATTTTGGCATTTTAAATGGGACGCATGCCATGCCGGCATCGGTGCCCTAATAACTACTCTTACGATGAGTGCCTTCTCGCCACTCCTGGGCTCGGCTGCCTGCGGGGCCCTCTGAGCCTTTCCCCAGAAAAGGAAACGCTATCCCCTCGCCGTGCAGCACCTGTTTACTGGGAAAACGTTGTGAGCCTTTTCTTTCTTTTTTGTATACCTTGAAGAGTGGAAAAGTTTCAGTTAAGTTTCTCTAGCATCAGAACATACATGTCTAACCTTTTTCATTAACATAGAGTAGCCTAATAATTCGTCATTTATTTGTAAAGACCATATTGTTGCTAGATTGTTTCAAAAGGGAACTAACTTGAGCTTTCATACTGCAGATGTTGATTCTAAGCTTTGTAACTATTTAACTCCCCCGTCCAAATTGCTCAATTGCCTTCCTCAAAATCACAACTTTCCCCTATTAGGCATGATGGAAAAATATTTGATAGCCTAGCTATGCTGTGAAGTTGTAAGTAGTTTTTGACAAATACCTGTTTTTCCTGAAGGGGAATCTTTCTCTCCCTCCTCCCCATGTCAACCAGACAGTTTCTGCAGTCTTGGTTGACTATTTTGGCTAAAATACAACGGCATGCCCATTTTAAATCACTTCTACAAGTTTGCCTCTCTATCTTAATATCTGTAAGAAGTATGAAAACATTTGTATCTGATACAATCCATTGTATCTCCTTCATCAGGGAAGAGAGCTGAAGTTTACTGACAGCCAGTCAAGAGACTTTGCATGTACCAGATGTTAGCTAGCAGCCTAGCTTTAGTCCTACCCCTCCAGCCTACTGTAGTCGCTCTGTGTTACAATATTTAAATAAAGTAACCCTGCTTTTTTTCTCTGTCTCCCAATATCTTTGAGATTTCATTTTCTTGCAGATATCACTTGCATAGTTTCTCTGTTTCTGCTGAATTTTCCAGCTTGCTGGTATCTTATCTCTTATAGCCGTTCCCTTTTCATCACCTTATGCAAGTTCAAACCTGGAACACAGTCTACATTCCTTGATTTCCTCAAAACACCACTTCACACAAGGCAGCTGTATTTAATAGATGTTTCATAAGACATTACTCAAGACAGCTGGGTCTTTACACGAGATAGTTTTATTTAACAGACTTTTTCCTTTTTCTTGGAGGGAGAAATTGCAGTGACAGATTTATATTAGAGTACAAGAGTGGGAGGGCCTTAAAATAGAAAATGGGGCATTTTTGTTTTATTAAGAGACTGGCTAGCCACAGAGAACTTGTCAATTTTTCTCCTTGGGTGACAGTCTCTCTCTCCCCTGCATTTTCCTACATCACGGTCCCCTTTTTCCTTCCGTTTCAGCTGCTTGTGAAACCTTAACATTCTTTCTACTTTGTTATGCAGAGCAATTTTGTATTCTTTATCTTTCTTCTAACTGTCCTTTACCATATGCTGTGGTTTATTCTTTAATCAAAAGACATTTCACTCCTTGGGCAATTCTGCCACCAGTATGTCTTTCCTTCTCTCTTAATCCTTGCAACAGTACTATAAGGTAGGTGATACTTCTGTTTTATGTACAAGAAAACAAAGGCTAAAAAAGTATATGAATTGATCAAATATAGGTAGCAGAATGAGATTTGAGCCAAGTGTCTATCAATCTTTAAAATACCATGCTCTGCCCACACTATCATAAGCAAGGTATTTAACTTAAAGACTTGAAAAAAAGAAAAAGTATATTATGATTATTTATGCTTGATTAAAATGACCATTTATTAAAATGTAATTTTGGCATTAACCTACCAAAAAGTAATTCTAACACAAAGCACATTAAGTCTGAAACAGTGTTTATCAGACTAAGCATTTGTTTCATTGGAATGGGGTTTTCTGAAAACTACTCCCAATCAACTGAAAGTAGCTTGTGTTTCTCATCCTTATAAGCTCTAAATTCCCTTTTCTGCTGAGATATCACTACAAGTATTTCATGTGGCCTCACTTTCAGTAGTATTTTTTTTTTATTCACAAAAGTTTTATAATACAATAGGACACCTCTTGGTAAATTCTTGATTTGAAAGGAATTGCTTTTTTTTTTTTTGCTTTTGGGGTCCCATTTATTTGAAAATCAGTGGTTTTCACAAAAACCATTAATTGTCACCTACTTTAAAGAACAAGTTTTTCAGGGGCATTTTCCAACTAAAATATTTGTTTCTCTTTGGGATGTGTGTTTGTGTATTTTAGGGCAAACAGGATATGAAATAGTTGTCATCAGTAAAGTGAAAGCTTGTTTTTTAAAGTCTTCTTGAACTGTAAAGGAGACCATTACTTTGTTGTAGACAAGAGCCCAAAATATTCATTTTTAATATTAAAAAACCCCTTTTAAAATGGTAAAGTTAGAAATACTTTTCCACTTAAAAATTTCTGGACACAAGTGAAATATCAGATTACTCATTAGAAAATCCCATATTTTTTTAAAAGTTAACATGATATTGGAAGATATTGATATCTTATACTCTTGAGTCATATAGATGCCCAGTAGGGGACTTTTAAACTTGTTTTCTATGTTTCCTTGGTGGCTGACAGTAGGTTTTCAGTTGACTGGCAGCATAAACAAGGTAAAATTGACTTCTTAGGAGAGTAGAAAAGATTTAATATGGTTGAAAAAAATAAAAATTGCTGTTGGAAATGTTTAAGAAAAAGTTAGACTTGTGTTCCTGAAAAACATGTGGATAAAAATTGAAGAAACCAGTGAATTGCTGATGGATGTCAGCAGTGTGTGTGGAGGACCTGAGTCAAATTTATATACCTGTCTTTTCCAAACCCATCCAGTTTCCAACTGTTCTCTGAAGGGTCCCTCAATTCTATTAGTTTGGTCAACTCAGGTTTCCTGAGAGCCTGGTGTGCGCCAGGCCACTCTCTCTCAGTTCCCAGCATAGGCAGCATCATGCTTTCAGGCTCTGCATGCTTTTCTGTTCGCCCGGAAGGCCCTCTCCTTCCTCTGTCAGTCTGTACATCCTTCAAGTTCCAGTTTATCCAAAAAGCTGCATTTTGCAAGGTTGCTCCTCAGACCCTATGGGACAGAATTACCTGGGGTCCGCCATAGAGATTCTGAGTGCACTCAAATGGATGAAACCTAGGAATCTTTTCAGTGAGTCTCCCAACTGGTTCTCATGTACTAAATCTTGAAAACTTTATAGTATATTGACCATCATTTTGAATATGAGATTCCTTCCTCATAATGTATTCTTTTGGGAGGGAGTTTTTCTTTTTATTCCTCCCGCCTTCTTCTTAAATGATATACAATCTTGGAAGGAAAATGCGAAATGCAGAAAAGGAAAATAATAATGCCAACATTCAGCAATAACTATTCTTAATATTTTGGTGTGTCTCCAGTGTCTTTTTTATATCAATGTAATTATTGTGTGTGTGTGTATAATGAGAACATGAAGTCAAAATATGTATAATTTTATACATGCTCTTATTAACAACATAGTATACATATTTTATGAAATTGTTGATTCCCATCAGCCAAATACCACCAGGTTGCCAAAACTGGGCTTACTCCTGCAGTGGGGAGAGCTATACCTTGGGAAACCATGGAGGAAATCACGTGGAGCTTATTATAAGATTTGGGTTAGGTGATTTTAGGAAGGCTTAAAGAAGGCAAGGAGTCTCTTATGGATTGGGTGATGTCAGAAAGCACATTTGCCTTTTGGGTAGCTTAATTTTTTCCTAGAAAGCTAGCAGAATAGAAAGGCTAGAGTTATCATTGGAGAAAAAGCAGTAGTCAGTGCTGCTAGCCAGGAGAGAACGATGCTTGGTCATTTTTGAGGTTGAAAGCATTCCGCCCTCCATCCTTGTGAAGTCTTTTTTTATTGTTTTGTTTTGTTTTGTTTTGTTCTTTATTGTTCAAATACATTTGTTTCCATTTTCCAGCGACCACTTTCCCCTACCCTACCCACCCCTGCCTCCCACCCTCAATCCTTCTCCACTTTGGCTTTGTCCCTGGGTCCTTTATACATGTTCCTTGACTTGACGCATCCCCTTCTTTTTCCTATTACCCATCTCCCTCCTCCCCTCTGGTTACTGTTGGTTTGTTTTTTCTTTCAGTGTTGCTGGTTATATTTTTCTTGCTTGTTT